GCCATGCTCCAGGGACTCAGCTAAAATTCGAGTGTCTTAGAGCTAGAAGAATCCCGGCCAGAATCCTCGTTGGTAGCAGTGCTGGGCTTCCGGATTTTGGGACTTTCTGCTTTCAAGTTTGGTCGGTCACTTCTTGGGTTTGAAACTTCCGATTTCCCCACTTCCGCTGAGGCTGGTGGCAGATTACAAGACTTTTTTTGCTGAGATGTCCGTGGATGCCATCTCACTTCTCGGTGATGACATGTCCGTTTCATCCGTCGGCATCAAGAAGGCCCTTCGGATGCAGAAGCCCTTGGGGTGGAGTTGCACGGTTCAAAGGTCGACACAATGGGAGTTTCCGAAAATAGGGGCACCCAAATATAGTACCCTAAATAATTAGTAGGATCCTTATTACAACGGTCCCAAAATAAGGTACCCCTAATTTTCGAACACTCCCAAATCGAAGTTCAGCCCAAAAGACCCTGGTAGTTCCAAGAAGCTTGGGATGACCAAGAGCAAAACCGCGCCCCAGGTGACGGGAGGTTCAGTGACCGACACGTTGCTGGTGCCCGGTGTGTGCTTCAAGAAGTGCTTCTCTTATGCTGGATTCGAAGCTTCGCTGCACTGGATGCTCACACCATCAAGGTGCTACTGTTGATGATATAGATCCTGCATTACCTTAAGGATCCTAAACTATGGGAGTTTTGGTACATTCCTTATTTTGTGTAATGCGGGGTTTATATCATCAACAGTAGTAGTTGATGGCGGAGAGCTGTAGCGTTTGCTGGCGTACCCGCTAAGCTTCAGGCGACCGCCAAGTTTCTACGAAGTGGTACTTCCATAAGTGGGGGTGGGGGTTGGTGGGGGGGGGTGTTCCAGCTCGCAATCTTCACCTGTTGTTTGAATGCAGGCAATACAAGTCTACAAGCACTTCCCTGGACCTCGAACTGCAAGCACAATGCTAGTAGCTCGAATCCCAAATCCTAGATCAAGAAGGCCTGATGGTCGCAGCCGCACCCCACGCGAAAGCCTAGGAACAACAGCCCAAGCGTTTCGAGAATGCCAAGATTCTGCTCCTGCGCCTCCGTCGGCAAGAGTTTGCATTGTGGTTGGTGACTTCCCTGTCTGATTTCAGTAGAACAGCTTAGGTGTGCCACTGCTTCAGATGCGGTCGTGTTCTGAAAAGCAGAGCATACCAATCCCATTTAGCAGCTTAAACTTTTCTTGCACGACTGCTACACGGTTGTTTGAAGGTCTTCCTGTCGTAAGCGTGCAAAACTACTCCTTGCCTTACTCTTGCGACTTCTACTGCTCCTACTACGAACTACCGCCTACCACTTCGACTACGGCGACGACCACTACTGGTGCTCCTGCTCCTGCTCCCGCCGGCTACTTCTACTCCTCCTCTTCCTCCTCCTCCTCCTCCTCCGCCTCCTCCTCCCCCTCCTCGCGAACTCCCAAACCTTTGATCCTAAACTCTTCAACCGAAGCCTTAAATCCTGAAGCCCCAAGTGCTACATAGCTGCTACATCCTAATCTCTAAACCCCTAAACCCTAAGACCCTAAACCCTAACCCCTAAACCCCTAAGACCCTAAACCCTAAGACCCTAAACCCCTAAACCCCAAACCCCTAGACCCAAAACCCTAAACCTTGTAAACCCCTAAACCCTATAAACCCCTAAACCCCTAAACCCTCAGACCCTAAACCCTAACCCCTAAACCCCTAAACCCCTAAACCCCTAAACCCTAAACCCCCTTAGTCTCTAAACCCCAAACGCCTAAGCCCTGCACCCTAAGACCCTAAACCCTAAGACCCTAAACCCCCCAGCCCCTAAACCCTAAGACCCTAAACCCCTAAGACCCTAAACCCTAAGACCCTAAACCCCTAAACCCCAAACCCCTAGACCCAAAACCCTAAACCTTGTAAACCCCTAAACCCTATAAACCGCTAAACCCCTAAACCCTCAGACCCTAAACCCTAACCCCTAAACCCCTAAACCCCTAAACCCTAAACCCCCTTAGTCTCTAAACCCCAAACGCCTAAGCCCTGCACCCTAAGACCCTAAACCCTAAGACCCTAAACCCCCCAGCCCCTAAACCCTAAGACCCTAAACCCCTAAGACCCTAAACCCTAAGACCCTAAACCCCTAAGACCCTAAACCCTAAGACCCTAAACCCCTAAACCTCAAACCCCTAGACCCAAAACCCTAAACCTTGTAAACCCCTAAACCCTATAAACCCCTAAACCCCGAAACCCTAACCCCTAAATCCCTAAACCCTAAACCCCCTTAGTCTCTAAACCCCAAACCCCTAAACCCTGCACCCTAAGACCCTAAACCCTAATCTCTAAACCCTAAACCCCTAAACTCTGCAAAGCCTATATAATCGAAGGAATCTTGAACTGGAGCTGAAGGCCGAGAAGGACGTTTGCAATTTCTGGCAGTTTCCGAAAAAGAGGGTTTAGGGCTAATATAGTACCCTAAATTATAGGATCCTTATGATAAGGACCCCAAAAGAAGGT